GGACCCCCGAGAGGCTGAGAGGGGGGAGGGAGGGAGGGAGGGAAGGAGACGGGAGGGATAAGGGTTGGGATACCTGCCCTCCCACCCTTGGGAGACCGCAAGTGGGAGCTCAGCCCCACGGCAAACCCAAGGAGCAGGACTGTGGGATGAACCATGTGTTGGATGAACCTAAAAAACCGCGTCTTGTCTGCAGGGGCTGGGCCAGGGACAGTCCTGCTGGGGAGCAGCCCCGTAGGGCCCTCAGGGCCCTGGGGAGGGGGGTGTTTCTAAGGGCTCCAACACCAGGGTCTGGTCCAGCACAGGTACCGGCCTTGCTCCCCTCTTCCCCATTGATCCCCGATGCCACAGCTCAGCCCAGCCCCGACTGCCCTCGGCTGCTAAGGATGCGGAGGCTGGAGCAGCGGAACCAGGGGCTGCCAGAGCCGGGTACATTCCCAAGGGGAATGCACAGAGGGGCTTCTGGGGTTGCCATGGGGTCATTAGCCCATGGGCATCACTGTCCCAGCTACGACTCGGAGGGGCACGCGGGCAGGACAGGTCTCTGTCTGCACCTCCGAGGAGCTGGTGGTGCCAAAGATGTGGGGAGCCCCAGGGTGCTGGCTCCATCCCCGGGCAGGCTCTCTCATGGCCATGCCAGAAGAGGCTGAGCCCACCTGCCCCAAGGTGACCCTCCAGCATGGCAACAACTCATTGCTGGCCCCAGCCTCGACTTTCTCCCCGAGGAGCTGCCAGCTCAGCCGTGCCCCCAGCACAGGGTTACACCTGTGAGGACATTTCTCTGCCCCATTGCTCACTCCCTGGCCCCCCAGGCAGCGGGGTGGGCTGGGATGGGCCAGGGCACGGGAGCAGGGGGAGGTCAGCAGCAAAGGATGCTGTGTGGCAGTGATGCCCAAAGGGGTGGCTGCCAGAGCTCAGCACACCTCCTCCTCCACATATCCCCATATCCTGGCTGCCGTGTCCTCAGAGAGGGGTGGGAAGGGTGTCCCTCCACTGGAGCCTCCAAGTGGTTCCCTGAGGTCCCCTGTGTGCCAACACCCCAAACTTGAGGGACAGAGGCTGAGGTTGCAGCCCTTCCAGCCCAGCATCCTCCATCCTGGGGGGAACCACTGCCACAAGAAGACACCTCAGGGTCCCTTTAGTCTCCTCTCTCCCCATGTCAGGAAGAGCCTTCTAGGTCTAACTGCCCCCCACTCCCCCACCCCGGGATCAGGGACTGCTGCCCACAGCTCATGCAGCAATGAATCCTGAGTGCCCATACGACTGCCTTCTCCAGGCACAGCCCCTCTGCCCACCCACCGGCCCAGGGGCTGGGCAAGGAGGGTGGCCAGTAGCTCATGGCCAACATGCCAAGGAGGGTGGCTAGTGGCTCATGGCCAACATGCCATGGAGGGTGGCCAGTAGCTCATGGCCAACATTCTGGCCACACTTCCCATGGCAGGGCATGGCCAGGACAGGGGAGGAAGCCGAGGCGCTGGCGCCTGTTGCAAGACTTTATTGGTTTCTAGACAGCGTCGCTGGAGGGTTTGGGCTGGAGCCAGGGCTAGGGGCTCCCGGGGCTGGGGAGGGTGAGGGGTGGGGGAGCCATGGCTGCACGGAGTGCTGTGGGCAGGGGAAGCCTCTGTCACAGCCCGAGGCTGCGGATTCCCTGCCGGGAAGGGGTGCAGGGAGGTCCATCTGGGCCAAACGCTCGCCCCCGTGCCAGCCATGCCCATGCTCCGATGCCCAGGAGCACCTGCTTGTGGTCCCCCGAGGAAAGTGGAGCCAGCCCAGTGGGGAAGGAAGATCCCGGCACCGACCGCATCTCTGGGAAGGGAGGCTCCTTCCTGTGGGGGTGTCTGTGCAGCTGGCAGAGAGGAGGCTCGAAGGAAAAGTCAAGAGAAAAGCAGGTTCTGGGCCCGGTGGCAGGAGAGCTCGGCTGGAGGCAGGTCCGGGAGCTAAATCACGTTGTCGAAGAGCTGCATGGACCTCATAATGTTCTCATCCTGCAGGGAGGAGGTGGGGAGCAGGTGAGTTGGGCACAGAGCAGCAATCTGGGCAGCTCCTCCAAACCTGGCTTTACCCTCACGCAGCTCTGACCCATGGGACGGGAGCCCCAGGATTCCAGCCCTCTTCCAAGCCCTACAAGGGTGCACAGCTCTCCTCATCTCTACGGAGATGCCAGCAGAAGTGCAGCTCCCAAAGCAGAGCCCCAGCCTTGCCCCTTGGAGCCCTGCCTTCGCCCCCTCTTTGCCAGGAAGGTGGTGAGCAGGACAGAGGTCCCCAAAAGACAGGGAGACAGCCCAGCCCCAGAGCAGAGCTGCTGGTGGCTTTACCTTCTGGCAGGACTCCAGGAACTCCTCGATTGTCACCACACCATCTTTGTTTCGGTCCATTTTCTGCAGACAAACACGGCACAGAGAGCATGGCAGGGACAGCCCCAGCCCCAGAGAGAGAGCCCAGCACCCCCTGCCCGGGTCCCACAGGGGCTGGAGACAACGCACCCCTTCTCCAGCCATCCTCAGCACCCAGCAGGACCAGGAGGGCCTTTTCTCTCCCTGGCTCCAGCACAGCCCTGCTTCAAAGTGTGGGTGTTCTCCTGCACCATGCCGGGTTTTGGGCAGTCACTGGCTCCGTGCTGGAGCTCTGCTTCCCCAGGATATGCTTGGCTCACCTGGAAGAAGTTCTCCACGTGCTCCCGAGGTGCTTCCTCCCTCATGGCTGGGTAGGTGTATTTGCCCATCATGTCGTAGATGGACTTCATGATGTCCAGCATTTCCTGGAGGGAAGGAGGTTGCTGGGTCAACATGGGGCTCTGCCTCAGTCTAGCCTCCAACCCACACCCTTCTGGTGATGCTCCTGAAGGACCTGTGGGTGCTCACACACGTTCCTGCCAGCTTCGTGCATGGTGTGGGGCCATGTGTGTGTACCTGCCGGTGTGATGGAACCCCGAAGCAGCACACCCCTCATCCACCATCCACCCCACAGACACACCAGTGCCGGGGAGGGTCCTGCTTGCAAAGCTGAGCTCAGTAAATACTGACACCCCCCCCAGCTCTACTCCAGAGCTCAGCCAATGCCCCCGAGTCCTGCCCAGATCCCCCCCATCCCACCTCTTTGGTGATGCAGCCATCTTTGTTCAGGTCATAGAGATTGAAGGCCCAGTTCAGGCGATCGTCAATGGTGCCTCGCAGGATGATGGACAGCCCAGACACAAAGTCCTGCGAGGATGGACAAGGCAGGTGGGACTTACAGCCACAAAGGGTCTCACAGACACAAAGGGCACAGCCTTGCTCATCCCTCCCACAGAAGAGCTCAGCCCCAAAGCAGATGTGCCCCAGAGCTGGGCTGACAAGGGAAACCTTGAGTATCAAAAAACCAACTGCTTGTCCCCAAATATGTCCCACATTAGTCCTTCGGGTCACAGCACCCAAGAGGACAACGTGCATCAGGACCTGGTCTTCAGCCAAAGCCTGAACAAGACTCAGCTGCACCTGCCCATCTGCGTACCTACAAGACAATAGCCAGAAAATATAGGAACCCCCCTTTTTTGTTGCTTTTCACTGTTTTTTCCCACCACCTCTGGGAATTTAATAAATGCTACCAGCCCTTGTGAAGCTCGCTGTCCATCTCCAACAGGAACACTGCTCAGCACAGCAGTACCTGAAAGGATGTGCCCTCTCTGCCCCACTGCCATCCCCTCCTCAGCCACCGCTCACCTCGAAGCTGACGGAGCCGTCGTGGTCAGTGTCAAAGGCGTTGAAGAGGAAGGTGGCGTACGTGCTGGAGTCTGGGGGGAGGCAGAGAACGTGAGGGGGTGCTGCCTGACTCCTCGCCCCATGGAGGCACCACTGTGGGGTGGGCATGGGGATGGGGACAGGCACTCACCTCCCTGCGGGAAGAACTGTGAGTAGATCTGCTTGAAGTTTTCTTCATTGACGATGCCGCTCGGGCACTCCTGCCAGGGCAAGCCACAGCATCACCTCCACGTTGCAGAGAGGGGCTGAGCATCCCCCTAAATCCCTGCGGCCCCCTTACCCAGGCCACCAGCCCTGCACTGCCTGGTGGGGCAGCAAGGTTGTGTGGAGCATCTCCCTTATTTTGTGGGCTGCACCCCTTGCTGGAGGGGGTCTGCATCCCAGGCACCCAAGGAGCAGGCTTTCTGCACCCAAGGGATGGAGCACAGCATCAAACCTCCACAGTGAGCTACCTGGAGGTGGAATCAGGCCGTAGCCTGATAGAAACTTCAACCCCAAGGTCCCGAAAGCCTTTGCAAACCCCAGGCACCACCGGGTGCAAAGCTGGACATGGCAGCAGGAGCAGGGCTAGCAAAGCTGGTGGAGGGGTACTCACATTCTTGAAGCCTCGGTACAGGACCTGCAGCTCTTTGCGGGTGAACTTGGTCTGCTCCTGGAGCTGCTCCAGCCCCTCGGGGCGGTGGCAGACGGTGGAGAGCTCAAACTCATCCTCAACGCTGTCTGCAAGGAACCCAGGGGAAGAGAGGGCGGCTGAGGCCAGCACCGTCCTGCCTGCCCTGCCGTGCCAGGGGGCAGGAGAGGCACCTTGCACAGCACACCCCATCCAGGGTGACACATTTTCGGGGTGCCCTGCCAGCAGGGGACACTTGGAGACATCCTGGGGGGCAGACCAGTGGCCAACACTAGGCAACAGTCCCCCCAGCCTCTGGTAGAGCCCAGGCTGAGCAGAAAAGGGGGGTGAAACTCCCCCCAGTGCTGAGACCCCCCCCACCTGCCCTTCTCCTCCCCCTGGCACAGGAATCTGCCCTGTGGAGCCAAGACCCTGGACATCCCACAGGTCTGTGCTGCACTGGAGCTGGTGTCCAGCAGGAGAGCTACCCCCCAGGAACCCCCAGCCCCAAATGCCCCCACAGCCTTACCTAGACCCTCTCCTATCCCTTGTGCCCCCCTTAATCTATGGCTTCTCCCCACCATCTGGCAAGCTGCACGACCCCAGCCCGCAGGAGCCAGCACCCCAGACCCCACTGCAACCAAAAGGGGCTGTGGCCCCACAGCAGGTACCCCCCTCCTCCATGGGGCAGCTCAGCCCCTGCCCCTCCATACTCACCTCTTCTCCCAGGGGGCAGGGGGAAACCCCAGCCAGGGGTTCGGACTCACCGAGGGGCCAAGCAGTGCAGGGAGGGTGGGGGGCTCTGGGCATCTCTGTGCTCACTCCCCTTTCTGGGCAGCTCTGCTCAGCCCTTTTCACACCATCCCCCCCACCCATCATCACACCTCCATCTCCAAACTGGAACCGAGCTTTGAGCAACAACCCCCCCAAGCCCTTAAACCAGCACCAGGAGGCTCCCAGTGCCCCAAGCCAGCTCCGAAGCAGGTCTCTCCGCTGTGCATCCTTGTGGGAGCCGCTCCGGGGAGCTGGAGAGGGGGAAAACCGGCCTGGAAGTGGGTCAGGACAGAGGTGACAGAGGTTTAGAGCCCATCGGATTCAGACCCCTCCGGGACAGGACTGATCCTGACAGCCCGAGCCCCAGCGCAGGGGGGGTGGCAGAGGTGTCCCTGTCCCACGGGAAGGGCCAGGACGGAGGGCAGGCAGCAGCACCGCCAGGGACACGGGGACACGGACACACAAACACACACACACACACACACACAAAGGCAAGAAGAAGCACTTGCTTTCGCTGAGCGAGGGGATGGATTTGGGCCGGCAGCAGGGCAGCAGTTTGAGGAATCGCTGCTTCAGCGCTTTTTTAGTTTGGCCCGGCGCGTTGCCTGGAAGAAAGAAGGAGTCACCAAGCAGAAGAAGAGTTAAGAGAGCCAGCGGCCCCCCGGGACCCGGCGGGCAGCAGGGGTGGGCACCCGGCACAGTGGGCGAGCGGGGGCCGGGGGGGCAGCACATGCAGCAGGAGGAGCAGGAAGGCAAAGCCCAGCCCAGGCTCTGCTCGGCCTTTCTGCTTCCTCACAGGACAAACCCGGCACGGGAGTCTTCCTCCTCGGGAAGGATGGGGGTGACAAAGGGACAACTCTGCTGGGCTACCCCCACCCAGCACCTCTGCACCCCCCCCGTCAGAGCATGCCGGGGTGCACTGGAGACACCCAGCAGCCCAGAGATGGCAAGGTTGGACCCTGTCCTTTAGCCATACGGCCACATACCTGCTCTCTGGGGACCCTCCCCAAGGGGCTGTGCAGGGAGGCAGGGCGGGATGAACCCCAAGAAATGGCCTCCCCCATTGCATCCCCCCCCCCAGCCAGGAGCTCGGGGCCGGGTTTGATCCTGTTGGGACCCGAGGGCTGAAGATGAAGCGTGCACCGAACCCAGCCATGCAGCCCGGGCCGCAGCATGCACCCCCGCCCCAGCATGGCACTGGGATCGGAGCCCAGGGCCCCTACTTTGAGACAGCCAGAAAGGGGAACGGGGCTCAGGGCTTTGCCTCAGCCAGGCTATGGGGCAGGGCAAGGGGCTCCCCACCTCAGCCTGGCCTGGTGGCCATCGCTTCAAGTGGCACCCTGCATAAACAGCAAGTCCCTTGGCTGCACAGACCCACCACCACCCCACACGCTATTTCCCCATCTGGAATCCAATGGCTTTGCTCAGCCCCATCTCTCCCTGCTGGCGCTGCCCCATGGCTGCAGACCCTCTCCCTCCCCTCCCGCAGTGCCTCAAGCCAGCAAACTCAGCGCAGGACGAATGCTGCAGGCGGGGAGGGGATGAAGGCCATGCCAGGCTCCAGCCCCCAAAAAGGAGGCAGACAATGACACAGGGCACCCATGGGATGAAAGGTGCAAAGTCCCTTTGGGGATCTGCTGTCCCGGTGTTTGCTCCAAGCCCCCTGGACATCTGCAGGCAGCAGGTCACAATGCCTGCACGTCCTGAGCCCTGGTTTCGGGGTTGTTTCTCTAGGGGGATGACAGATGGGGCTTCTCTGGCAGCTTTCTCAGCCTTGTGGGGCTGAGCTGAGCCCTGGGGAAACAGTGCTGTGTCCTACCCAGCCCCAGTGCTCAGAGGAGGACCTGGGTCTGCAGACAGCTCCATCACTCTGGGGCAATGGAGAACAGCTCCAGGAGGTCCTTCTCCCAGCAGGACATCACACAAAGCCACTGGGAGAGGGCAAACTTGTCCCCTGGGAAGTGGCATCCACAGCAGGGTGGCAGTGACATGCAGACAAGTAGGGATACAAGAATGCAACCCCTGGCATTTGTCACAGGGCAACAGAGGTAAGGGTGATGGTCAGGATCTTGGTGCTGGCAGCACAGCCGGCCCCTGTCTGCTCCGGGGTTTGTGGGCAGGTGAGGAAAGAGGCTTTTTCCTTTCTAAAAGGGGGCATCAGTTGTGCATAAAACATGATTTTGGCCCAGCTACTTCTCCAGGGCTTGTAGAGGGAAAGGGAAATTGCACCTTTCAGCCTTCCAAGGATGCCCTGGGGCCAGGTCCCTCCGGCAAGAGCCAAACTATGGGAACAGCCCTGGGAGGCAGGAGCAGCCCCTTCACCCAGGGGAAAGGGACGGGGCAGGCAGAGCAACAGCCAGTGGCAGAGTGATGGACCAGGGGAGGGAGCAGGGCGGGAGGGAAACCACACAGCGAGAGAGATGCAACAGAGAGTAAACTGTGGTTGGACTCACAGGGGCAGCAGGTATAGGCACGTGCAGTAGGTCAGGTCAGGTGCAAGTTACACTTTAGTTTGTTATAAAGAAGGAAAAAGAAAAAAAAAAATAAAGAACATAGGCGTTTTCTTAAGGAGGAAACTGAAGAGGGCCCAATTCCAGGGGCCCCAGGGCAGGGAAGGGAGCACGTTCAGCACATGCAGCTTAACAACAGGAGAGGGGTGACTAGGGCTAGGGTTTTGCTGTCCTGGCTTTGGTGCACCTGAAGGTTCTGCTGGGGAGGACACGATGTCCCCTTTCTGTCCCCCAGCATCCATACTGGGGGCTCCCCCTCACTGGGAAGCAGCTCTGCCCAGAGACAGGGCAGCAGAGCCTGGCCACACGGGAACCTGCAGCACAAAGCCCTGTCCCTGCCAGTGACAGCTCTTTTTCCAGATGTGGCTCTGCCCTCCACCCCCTCTGCAAGAGCCGGCACTAAACAAGGCGACAGAAAGGGCTGGCAGTGTTTGATCTGTGGCAGGAGCTCTGCCGGGTTGAGTGGCTTGTCGCTTCCCAGGCGTCACACCACAGCCCAGCCACTTCAAAACACACACACAACCAGAGCCTCCATCCTCAGGCGGCACCAAAAGGGGAAGGGATTTCCCATCCCCACCTCCACACGCTGTTGAAATGAATCCCGGAGGTTGCTGGACACTGGCTCTGAAGGGACCCACAGCCAGGAGACCCCCAGCACCAGCAGCGACACCACCGGGATGGTCATGGACAACTTTGTATTGAGCCACCAGCAGCTGATGTGTCCTTGGTGGCTGGATCCAGCCAGTCCTGCCATGTCAGGGGGTTTCATGGTGCTGGGCTGACACCTCTCTTCCCAGGGAGGACCCAAGCCTGGGCTGCTCCCTGGTGACCCCAGAGAGAAATCAGGAGCTGGGCTCAGCTCAATGCACAACCATGTCCCTGCCCTCCCCACAGAGGCAGAGCCACCAGTGCCCTCCCAGTGACTGCCAGCTGGAGACACCAACCCACCCCTTCCACAGCACCCTCCTGCTACAAAAGACCCTACAATAACAAACCAACAGGCAGTGCCAAAGCTACAACCCCCTCACTCTCAGAAACCTGTCAATAAATGCATCATCACGGCGAGTGGAAGATGTGCATCCTACGACGGCGAGACACACACCTTCCCCTGTCTGGGCACAGCACCGATCCAGGACAGGAGCAGAGCACCAGCAGGCACGGGGTGCAGCTCCCACAGCCCCTGCTTGGCCCCATGGGGCAACACCAGGTCAGTTGGGAGGTCAGGAGAAGCTGGTACTCCAGGGACGATCCACCCAGCACCCTGCACTAGGAGCAGGGCTGGGGTGGCCAAAGGCAGCTGGGCAAGAGGACTCGCTGCCATTTAAGATACCTTGGCTGGGGTTTGTCCTCCTGCTTCCCAGCCAGGGTAGGGGGACGAGCCAGAGGAAAGGGCAGTGCAGGCCCAGGGGAGCATGGAGAAAGGGTCAGTAGAGGAGCCTCCATCCCCTCCCAGAGCATCACCTTTTCCTGGGAGGCCAGAGGCACATCCCCAAGCTCCCCCTGCCAGGCCATGGCTCTGGGTCCATCCAGGCAGCGATGCTGAGCCCAGCTGCCCCTATCACCTATGGCTCACGATCATCCCTGTGCATCTCTGAGCATGATCCACCAGTCCCTGGCTCTGCCCCGCCTCTGCAGAACCCAGCCTCGGGCAGTGCCACCTCCTGCTCAGGGGGACCACAGCTTTCCAGGGTCTGCAACGAAGGGCAGCAGGAGGAAGAGACAGCGAGCTCCCTCAGCCGCCCTGGGGAGGGTCAGGATGGGTCCCACCAGCAGCAGCTTTGCAAATGACCCTCATCAGTCAGCAGTGACAGAGCTGAGCACAGCCAGGGCCAAGGTGCCTGCAGCAGCCGCTGGGGCCAGACAGTCATCCATTAGGGGAATGAAATCACAGCTGGCATCTCCGGGGCAGGGGACGGAGAGAGACTCCCTGTCCTGGGGGTGGCACAGGGGCAGCCTCAGCCCAGACACCTGGAGCCAGCGGGGCTGGAGGAGCTGGGAGCAGCAAAGCTGCCCTGGAAGACCTGCAGTTCACAGGACAGTAGGGATTTAGGGCTGGGATGCCGAGCAGGAGCCAAAGGGAGATGGGGACATGGGCCAGGACGGGCAGCAAAGCAAAGTGGGGCTGACGGTGGTGCTGTCCCCGTTCCCAGCCGGTGACAGTGCTTCCACACAGCCTGGCTGTGCCCGGGGGAGATCTTGGCAGAATAATAGTTTCTCAGGCCACACCACATATGAAATGTTGCGAGAAAGGAACGGGATGGGATGCAGGTACCGAGGCACAGTGGAGCTCAGGGGCTCCCCAAAAGCAGCAGGTAAGGCTGCGGGACCAGGACAGCCATGTGCCACAAAAACTCACTTGCAGGGACACATCCTGCCCTGTCCCCATCACCACCCCCATGTCAGGGACATCTCTGGCAGCAGGAATCAGTGCATCCAAGGTGCCAGAGGAGCTACCCAAGAAATGCCACAGCAGAGCAGCAGCTACTCTTGGCTGCAGGCAACGTGTCCCACAAGAGAGCTGGTGCTCTGCATATCCCTTACCCAGATATCATCCACACCCCCCCAGCACGGCACATGTACGAAGCCTGGATACACCTCAGCCACAGCCCAGCCAGATCCCAGGCAGCTCAGGGAGATCCTCCATCACAGGGGGGTTGAAAACATCTCCTGGGCGCAGTGTGGCCTCCTCCCCTCCCTCTGCTCAGCCACTAATTGCTCCTCTGATGACTCCTACCCACACATCCTCCCATCCCAGCTCCCATCCCCAGATCTGCCTGTCCGAGGGGATGTGATCTGCAGCCCCTTCACCTGGCAGCATCCCCAGCGCCAGCCAAAAGGCAAGGGGACAAAAAAACCCAAACAAACTCTAAATCGTCCTCATGCAAAGTCTGTTGGCAGCCCTTGTCTGAGGTGGGACTGTCCGTGGCAGAGCCGAGGAAGGCAGCCAAAGCTGACAAACCAGCTGCACCCTGCGGCTCCCTGCACTCCCGCCCTCGCCAGGCACAGCCAACAGGTCCTGCATCCCTCACCCTGACATGTTCTGGCCACATCCAGCCTTGTCCTCAGCACCCACATCAGCCCCTTTCCTCCCCAAC